GCTGCCATTGGTGGCTACAGCTGTCGATCACAGGATCCCAGCCAGAGATTCCCTGCCGGCATGCATCCTGCGATTGCTGAGGAACACTGACAGTGGAGAGGTCTGTATGTAAACAATACAGATCTCTCCCCTGTCAGCACCAGCATTCTGCTTTGTATTGCTGTGCATAGCACAGCAATACAAAGCAGCATGCTTACAATTGTAAAACAGTACACAGCACATAAAGTGAAACACACACAGCACACAGTTAACCCTTTAATCGCCACAGATGTTAACCCCTTCGTGCCCAGTGCCATTAGTACAGTATCAGTGCTTTTTATTAGCACTGATCACTGTATTAGTGTCACTGAGGATGTCAGTGGCAGTTAGTCAGTTCGCCCCCCAGTGTCAGAATGCCTGCCGCAGTCCCGCTATAAGTTGCTGATCGCTGCCATTACTAATATTAAAAAATAAATAAATAAATTCCAGTATATATACCCCCATTTTTAGATGCTATAACTTTCACATAAACCAATTAATTTACACGTATTGGGATTCTTTTTTAGCAACAACATATAGAAGAACACATTTTGGCCTACATTTATGACGAAATTTGATTTTTTAAATTTTTTTACTGGATATGTTTTATAGCAAAGCGTCAAAAATATTATTTTTTTTCAAAATTGTCTGTCTTTTTTTGTTTATAGCATGAAAAAAAAAAACACAGAGGTGGTCACATACCACTGACAGAAAGCTCCATTTGTTGGAAAAAAAAGGACATAAATTTAATTTGGGTGAAGCGTTGCATGATTGCACAATTGTCAGTTAAAGTAACACATCGCTGTATCTAAAAACTGGCCTGGTCAGGAAGGGGGGGTAAATCCTCTTGAGGGCAAGTGGTTAAATCCTGCAAAGAATACGTGTCTCTACACTCTCATGCTTAGTCCCGTTCATTATGTCATGGTTTAATCGGATAGATCACACAATTTTCATGAAGGAACTAATACAGCATAGTGGACGATCTCTGAACTCTAATGTGGAATGGTTGGAGAGCATTTAAGATACCTATAGACTATCTACAGGCTTTCAGTCCCTTGAGTCAATGATTTAATGATCCATAGAATAGGCATTTTCTTTTATCGTATATTTGCATATCACAGAGATATTACTTGCATCCTATAGATAACATCTGGGTTTAGGGGAATCGATGCCTCCCATTTTGTTTTCCTTTTTCTGTTTCTCCTTTTTCTCTATTTTCTTTCTATATTGTTATATTATATATTTCAAGTTATGGTTTTAGACAGTAACAAAGAATACATTGTTTTTGGTGACTATCTTGTTGATTTGGAAAAGCTTTTTTTTTTTTTTCTTTCTTCTAGCAAACATTAGATCTTCATTCAAATGTTGCCTACAAATATATTTTTCTAAATCTTTATTATGAATTATGCCAAGAACATATCACAGTGCATACAGTGAATGAATATGCAGCACAGATGTACACAATAAAGAATGCACCATTAAAAAATGTTGCCACAGTAGGCCAACAGGTATCTCCTGTTTGTAGATGCCCCCTCCCATATAGTACACTTAGTATTATATAACATGCCATCTTAGGGAATCAGGTAAGGTACCTGGCTAATCGTGAAACAAAGTACATATTATAATGAGTCTTGAGAAGAGAATCTCTTTGTTGTCTTTGCTTTAATAAAATGCAGCAGGTTTTGGAGAGGATCTAACAGGGAAGCAGTGGAGAAAGAGCAGGAGAGGGGAAAGAGTGAGGGGAAAGAGTGAGAAAAAAGATCTGGTTGAGATGTGTCATCCCCCAAGTGTGAGGTGGTGACTAGAGAGACTGGAGAGAAGAAGAGGTGAGGTCCTCCATTCTCCTGATTTTGTTAACAGCAGTGACCAATTGGCCCATGGTAAGATGAATAATATATTTCTATTTGGCCAATATACAAGATTTCCACAACTATGATTGGTATGAGTTTCTTCTCTGGAAATGCTTTTAGTTTTCATCAATCATGCTGGTGAAAACTGTCATGGTGGACAAACAAAGCTAATGAATCTATATTTGATTTATCAGCTTATTGTTACAGAAGGTCTTGACTATGCCTATATGTCTGTAGTCTTTGTCTAATGTTTTCCTTTTAGGCAACAAAACCTTTTTTCCTGGCACACACCTCTAATGCAGCTCAGATTAGTGCAATCTCTCTTGAAGATGCATATACACTATATTGCCAAAAGTATTGGGACGCCTGCCTTTACACGCACATGAACTTTACTGGCATCCCAGTCTTAGTCTGTAGGGTTCAATATTGAGTTGGCCCACCCTTTGCAGCTATAACAGCTTCAACTCTTCTGGAAAGGTTGTCCACAAGGTTTAGGACTGTGTCTGTGGGAATGTTTGACCATTCTTTCAGAAGCGCATTTGTGAGGTCAGGCACTGATGTCGGATGAGAAGACCTGGCTCGCAGTTTCCGCTGTAATTCATCCTAAAGGTTGAGGTCAGGACTCTGTGCAGGACAGTCATGTTCCTCCACCCCAAACTCGCTCATCTGCAAACTGTTCCCACAAAGTTGGGAGCATGAAATTGTCCAAAATGCTTTATACCACTGCACCTGACGCTTTGCATTGCACTTGGTGATGTAAGGCTTGGATGCAGCTGCTCGGCCATAGAAACCCATTCCATGAAGCTCTTATGCACTCTTGTTGTGCTAATCTGAAGGCCACATGAAGTTTGGAGGTCTTTAGCTATTAACTCTGCAGACAGCTGGCGACTTCTGCGCACTGTGCGCTTCAGTATGTCTGCATGTCGGCATGTGCGCACTGTGTACTCTATCATTTTACGTTTACGAGTTGCTGTTGTTCCCAGTTGCTTCCACTTTATAATATCAATAACAGTGGACCGTGAAATATCTAGTAGCAAGGAAATTTCACGGATGGACTTATTGCACAGGTGGCAACCTATCACGGTACCATGCTTGAATTCACTGAGCTCCTGAGAGCAACCCATTATTTGTCTGTAGAAAATGTCTGTAGAAGCAGTATGCATGCTTAGGTACTTGATTTTATACATCTATGACAATGGAGGTTATTGGAACACCTGAATCCAATGATTTGGAGGGGTGTCCCAGTACTTTTGGCAATATAGTGTTTATTGACATCCACTATTGCAACAGTTACCTGCAGATGTTCTGATAAATATATGAGGTTCTTTTTTCAGGATCAAAAAGTCAGTTCTTGGGTTGCATTTGCTGGGCCCGGCCAGCCTGAACAAATAGGAAGTCTCAAATCTAAGACACATAGATAATGGGTGGACTGATTGATTTCAAATTATTTGGCAATCATATACAACCTACTTTTTTAGGATCACAGAGAACTATTTTGGCATGATGACACCACATGCAATAGCATGGAGAATTCCAGACCCTAGATACCTGCTATGTACATAAGAAAGGTTCCATCATGATACTCCCTAAAAAGGGTGTACTTTATTATTACATGAGACAAATCTGCATTTCAATCATTTATACAATGAGAATGAATTCAGTAGTTATTTATCATTGTATATCACCTTCATCTGTTGGCATTGCTTGAATCTAATATTTGCCATTTCTGCTTTTATGAAAATAACACCAATTTCCATAGTGTGTGCATACATTTTCATATGACAGTACTTTCCAGCTTGGATAACTTACATTCAAGGTCTTCAAAGTTCTAGTGATCTCTGTGATTTGATCCATCTGTATGCTTGACATTTGTGGTCAGTGCAGATGTAACTCTGGCAGATCAAGAGGACCTTATTACAAGATATACAGCAATTTGACCAAGGGGCAAACAATGACAAGGCTGCCACAGCATGTCATTCAAAATCTCCTTTTTTTGTTTTAAAGGCAATATAGAAAACACTAATTAACAGAAGCAAAGAACTGGCGTCACAGTCTATAGAGAGAGCTTTTATCAACAAGGAGAATTGATTAATTCACAAACATCCAGATGGGGTTCTATGCCTATGTTGTTCATTTTGCTTTATAGACTGAAAAAGGTCTTTATCATAGACAAGGACCACTTGGCCTATAATGGGTGTGTTAACAATTTTAACTTTGACAAACATGTTTGAAAACTGGAAAAGGTTTTTAATCATGAAATCTCAACACAATAATAGCTTAGAGTTCGTTCAGAGATTTTCATGTGGTGCCAATATCCAGGCAGACCTGTATACCTTCTGTTCAGTGAATTAAAAATAAATAAATACAATCTTATTTTAAGGTTTATTACGAATTACATTAAATCTACTATAACTTATCCATTATTATCAGGAGTGGGGAGTACTCTAGTAAACATGTTGATATGAAAGCAACAACTTGAATGCAGTTGTCTTTGACCATTGCTATGTGAACCTCTCTGGGTTCTCAGCTACCTTTAAATGTTGATCCCATCAAGTGTTCATTACCTATCATAAATTATGCAGTATTGTAACTACCAATAATCATAAAACTATGTTCAAAATAACATGATTCATATTATTTCATTAATATTTAATATTTCAGTTGGTTGAATATGAATTTTTCATATTTACTGAGGTTTTTTACTTCACCACATATTTGAATTTGGTTTGTAATATGACAAAGGTTTGTTTCTAAGAGATTAGCAGAGTTATGCAGGCCATAGATGGGGAGAAAAACGGCAGATTTTTCTTTTAAAAAACGAAAATTCGGTCGTTCAAGCGGCCGACGTTTACCATCAATGGTAAAAAAAAATCGGCCGATTTTCATCCCTTCTACAGCCGGCAAAAAGTGTCCCTGCAGAGAGCTCCGCTATTTCTGACAGTTCTCTGACAGTTCCTTCACATTTACAGCGGTTGAAACATTGTATCTATTTGTTTCCATTTAGGATACAGATGTTTTTATTCGGAAACAAATAGATACATTGTTGCAACCGCTGTAAATGTCAAAGAACTGTCAGAGAACTGTCAGAAATAGCAGAGCTCTCTGCAGAGACACTTTTTGCTGGACTGGAATTCTTCTTATTTTCATCCTACTTCTTCTTCTTCTTCTTCATCCTCATCCTCTTCTTCTTCTTCATCCTCATCCTCTTCTTCTTCATCATCATCCTCATCCTCTTCTTCTTCATCATCTTCATCCTCATCCTCTTCTTCATCCTCTTCTTCTTCATCCTCATCCTCTTCTTCTTCTTCATCCTCTTCTTCTTCTTCATCCTCATCCTCCTCCTCCTCCTCTTCTTCTTCTTCCTCATCCTCATCCTCTTCTTCTTCATCCTCATCCTCTTCTTCTTCTTCTTCTACATCCTCACCCTCTTCTTCTTCTTCTACTTCTTCTTCTTTCCTCCTCATCCTCGTCCTCTTCTTCTTCATCATCCTCATCCTCTTCTTCTTCTTCATCATCCTCATCCTCTTCTTCTTCATCATCCTTATCCTCCTCTTCTTCTTCCTCATCCTCATCCACTTCTTCTTCTTCTTCTTCATCCTCCTCCTCCTCTTCTTCTTCCTCATCCTCATCCTCTTCTTCTTCTTCTTCTTCTTCTTCATCCTCATCCTCTTCTTCTTCATCCTCATCCTCTTCTTCTACATCCTCATCCTCTTCTTCTTCATCCTCATCCTCTTCTTCTTCATCATCCACATCCTCTTCTTCGTCATCCTCATCCTCTTCTTCTTCTTCTTCATCCTCTTCTTCTTCATCCTCATCCTCTTCTTCTTCATCCTCATCCTTCTTCTTCTTCATCCTCATCCTCTTCTTCTTCTTCTTCCTCATCCTCTTCTTCTTCTCATCCTTCTTCTTCTTCTTCTTCTTCTTCTTCTTCTTCTTCTTCTTCCTCATCCTCTTCTTCTTCTTCCTCTTCCTCATCCTCTTCTTCTTCTTCTTCTTCTTCTCCTCTTCTTCTTCTTCTTCATCCTCTTCTTCATCCTCTTCTTCTTCTTCTTTTTCTTCTTTTTGTCTTCCTCTTGCAGGTCACTGCTCATGCGCAGATTTTTTATCGGCAAAAAATCGGCCAATTTGCCCACTAATTGCCGCGAAAATCGGCCGATCGGCAAAATCGGCCGATTTTTTTCCGACTTTACAGAAAAAAAATAACGGCCAAAATACCGAAAAACGGCCGACCAAATTGCCCACTAACGATCCGAAAATCGGCCGATTTTATTTTCGGCCGAAAAATCAGCCGATTTTCGACCCATCTATGGCCTGCATTACTTTGTTCAAAGCCTGTATTCCTCCCATAATGGTAGGGTTAGTAAGGAAAGACAGAAGCTATGATTTTGTGGACCCTGGCCACCCCCTGCCAGTGAGGCACTGTCAGCATATACTGGTGTCATTAAGCCTCAACAGTAATCACATTCAACAGTAGGCAATTCTTAGCCATTCCTTTTTCACTGGACAAGATTTTGGGGTCTAAGAAAATACACAGGCATGTGACTGCAATAATAATGCATAAAGCATTATTATTTTTTCATTTCAGTCTGCAGCCAACCCTCAGTTTCTATAACAGCCAAAAAACATCACATTGACTCTCCTCCTAACAATGGCAGTAATATATTCACCGATTATCCTGCTTCAGTAATTGGCTTACTGCCTGCTTCAGAAAGCCTATGGGCTGTTTGTTGCATGGACTATGGCATGCCTGGCAATACCCTTACATTATGACTACTGCACTGGGAGTTAAATAGCATTTAAAAAGATATTTTACAATTAATAAGGTTTTTGGTGCTTTTGATTACAACACTGGCATCTATCATGTTGTTATAATAAGGAAGAACCTAACGCATAGTATTCATTTTTTAAACATTTCAGCTTCGGCATTGCATTGTTAATACATACAAAACAAAATCTGGTAAGGATGTGCAAGTGAATATAAATACATTCTCAGTTATACAGTATATAACATTAACTAAAGTGTTCATAAAAATGTGCCAAACACAAAAAAGTGTCCAAATATAGAGTATCCAGAAGAAAACAAAGGTTGACAATGTCCTTCTTTAGAACTCCTCCATCCAGGAAAAAATCAATCCACAAATTGTGAGTGAGAGGTTAGTGTTTACCACTTGGTGCAATATAGTGCATTGATATTATGAAAAATTCCACCTTGTAACATGGTTAAAGGCTCCTCTTACCAGATCGGATAGATCAAAAAGTTATAAATGGTCATAATACACTCAAGACACCACAGCCAGGGATGAATCCACCGCAGCATACCAATGTTCTCAGTAGCCGATGTCACCAGTGGAAAAAAAATAATAAACATTCTTAAATCGTGAAATATGTTTAAAAATCTCTCCTTTTATTAAAAGTAATAATCACATCCACATAGGGCCAAAAATGTAATAACGGTAAAAAAAAAAACGTTTCTTTACCTAAAATCAGTATAGCAGGCTGATAGCTCCGCCATGCAAAACGCCAAGTCAGACCAGCAGACTATGGTAATTATGGTATTTATGACCATTTATAACTTGATGGTCCATCTGGTCTGGTAAGAGGCACTTAACCGTGTTACAGGGTGGTAGAATTTTTCATAATATCGATGCACTATATTGCACCATGTGGTAAATGCTAACCTCTTACTCACACTTTGTGGGTTGATTCTTTCCTGGATGGAGGAGTTCTAAAGAAGAACATTGTCAACCTTTGTTTTCTTCTGAATACTCTCTATATGGACACTTTTTTTTTGTATTTGTACATTTATATGAACACTTTAATGTTATATATAATTGAAAATGTATTTATTTTCACATTTTTTTTTACAAGCAATAATGCAATTTCAATTTTGAATGTATATCACTTATTGATTAGCGCTGCTTTTTGTTTATATTGTTTGATTGACTGGTATCACAGTTCACAGTGGCCACTTGTGTATATTCATTGGTGACCTAGCATGGATTTAATTTGTTTATAAGGATGGGCAAGTGTGCTGAGTTTGCTTGCTTTGTATAGAGCTGACCCAGAGGACTTTGTATTTCTCATAACAAAATTAAAATAATAATTCGACCACTGCACATCTAATACAATGTCTAATTCTCAGTGCATTGAAGCTGAATGTTATCTGATGAGAAAGTAGCAAACTTTCATTCCTCCTCTTTGATTTTAAATCAGAGTGACACTTGAAAATTGCAAAACTGGGCTGAGAAAATCTGTGCTCAATCCAATAAATGGTTCAGGAATGGAAGGACAGTTTTAGAAATGGTAAATGTGTTCGGTTTAGGACAAAGGTTGAAGGACAACTCAAATCTGCCTACAATTACCTGAGAACATAGTTACATAGTTAGTCTGGCTGAAAAAAGACAAAAGTCCATCCAGTTCAACCATAGAAAGGAAAAAAAAAAAGTTATAATCCTATACCCACAGTTGATCCAGAGGAAGGCAAAAAAACCGAGCAAAGCACAATCCAATTTGCTCCTGCTGGGAAAAAAAAATTCCTTCCTGATCCCCCGAGAGGCAGTCGGATATTCTCTGGATCAACTTTACCTATAAATGTTAGTATACAGTTACAGTCATGGCCGAAATTGTTGGCACCCTTGATATTTCTCCAGGAAATCATGTATTTCTCACGAAACGTATTGCATTAACACATGTTTTGCTATACACATGTTTATTCCCTTTGTGTGTATTGGGACAAAACAAAAAAAGGGAGGAAAGAAAGCAAATTCGACATAATGTCACACAAACCTCCAAAAATGGGCTGGACAAAAAGTATTGGCACCCTTTCACAACTGCGGATAAATAAGAATGTTACAAGCATGTGATGCTCCTGTAAAACTCACCTGGGGCAAGTAACAGGTGTGGGCAATATAGAAATCACACCTGAAAGCAGATAAAAAGGAGAGACGTTCACTTAACCTTTGCATTGTGTGTCTGTCTGTGCCACACTAAGCATGGACAACAGAAAGAGGAGACGAGAACTGTCTGAGGACCTGAGAACCAAAATTGTGGCAAAATATCAACAATCTCAAGGTTACAAGTCCATCTCCAGAGAACTAGATTTGCCTTTGTCCACAGTGCGCAACATTATCAAGAAGTTTGCAACCCATGGCACTGTAGCTAATCTCCCTGGTCGTGGACGGATGAGGAAAATTGATGAAAGATTGCAACGCAGAATAGTCCGGATGGTGGATAAGCAGCCCCAAACATGTTCCAAAGACATTCAAGCTGTCCTGCAGGCTCAGGGAGCATCAGTGTCAGCGCGAACTATCCGTCGACATTTAAATGAAATGAAACGCTATGGCAGGAGACCCAGGAGGACCCCACTGCTGACACAGAGACATAAAAAAGCAAGACTACAGTTTGCCAAAATGTACTTGAGTAAGCCAAAAGCCTTCTGGGAAAACGTCTTGTGGACAGATGAGACCAAGATAGAGCTTTTCGGTAAAGCACATCATTCTACTGTTTACCGAAAACGGAATGAGGCCTACAAAGAACAAAACACAGTACCTACGGTAAAATATGGTGGAGGTTCAATGATGTTTTGGGGTTGTTTTGCTGCCTCTGGCACTGGGTGCCTTGACTGTGTGCAAGGCATCATGAAATCTGAGGATTACCAAAGGATTTTGGGTCGCACTGTAGGGCCCAGTGTCAGAAAGCTGGGTTTGCGTCCAAGATCCTGGGTCTTCCAGCAGGACAATGACCCCAAACATACGTCAAAAAGCACTCAGAAATGGATGGCAAAGAAGCGCTGCTGGAGAGTTCTGAAGTGGCCAGCAATGAGCCCAGATCTAAATCCCATTGAACACCTGTGGAGAGATCTTAAAATTGCTGTTGGGAAAAGGTGTCCTTCCAATAAGAGAGACCTGGAGCTGTTTGCAAAGGAAGAGTGGTCCAAAATTCCGGGTGAGAGGTGTCAGAAGCTTATTGATGGTTATAGGAAGCGACTGATTTCAGTTATGTTTTCCAAAGGGTGTGCAACCAAATATTAAGTTAAGGGTGCCAATACTTTTGTCCAGCCCATTTTTGGGGTTTTGTGTGACATTATGTCATATTTGCTTTTCTGCCTCTGTTTTATATTTGTTCCAATACATACAAAGGGAATAAAAACATGTGTATAGCAAAACATGTGTTAATGCAATACCTTTTTTGTGTGAAATACTTGATTTTCAGGAAAAATATCAAGGGTGCCAACAATTTCGGCCATGACTGTATATTCTGTGTATCTAAGAAACAATCCAGGCCTTATTATTAGATTAAAGTGAAGTTATACTCACAAATTAATGTACAACCAAACTTTCAGAAAAGTATACTTAGTTTAGGAAGGTTAAGTAAAAGAGGTTTTCATTATCTTTCCATTTAAACATTATACAGTGTTTCTCTTATTTTGTTCATGAATTCTCTCCCTATTCTATGCTAGGCCCTGCCAATGTGTGAAAGTAGGCAAAATGGACACAGGGTTCACATTAATGCAAAGTGCGGGGCTCTGGCAAAGAAGAAGAATGAAGAAGACTGGGGTTCAATTACCTCCAGGTTTTGTAATTCTGGATCAAGGTCTGGAGTCAGAAGGCTTCAAAGAGTCTTGGGTGGAACAATTGTTGATTGGAGACCTGTAGCTCTGTCTCAGCAGGTTAATGTTAGACCTCTGCAGAGAGACCACTTATTTTAGAGCAAGTATCCTTCTCTGCAGCATACTAGCAGGGGGCAGGTTTTTTATACACCCCCTGATCAGTCTTACCTACAATCAGCAAAGCTCAAATTCCCAGCTGATCAGAAAGCTCTGGCTCTGACTCAGCAGGGGGGCATGTCTATCCTCTGCAAAGAGATCACTGCTTC